AAAAGGGCAGAGAAGGGCACCACAGAGTCTTCCTAGGTGAAGAAAATGATCGGGTTTTCTTCTTCTTGACCAGATAATGGTCAAGATGTCAGCATAACTAACAATTCTGGCTGCTGCCTCTGTCTGTTGCTATATATTTGTGCCCAGTGTTATAGCTGGAAAAAGTGTTCTAGTTGGAAAAAGTGCCAAAAACACAATTTCTCAGTGCCTTCCAAGTTTCAAATTTAAGAAAACTTTAACATAATAAGTCTACAACAGTTACATGGGCCACGTTGTTACAAACGTCTGAGAATTCCTCATTAGTCAGTACTTCAAAGTAATCATGGCTGGATCAAAGTCATACACAAGCTGGCCCAGGAGGAGTTAATAAAAACAACAGCATTCATGGAGGTTTTACTATCTGCCAAATGCTTTCCTTTCATTATCTCTTCTAATCCCCACCACAGCAGTGAGAGATATACTGGTTTTATCCCCATTTTACAGATTACTGCTTTGACAACTCACCAAGGCTAGGTCAAGATCATTGCCCAAGCTCATAAAAAAATTACCAAGAAGAACAGCTGAAAAGCCAGCCCTATCTCAACTTCTTAATTCTGTCTGTATTAGGATAACATAAAAATAAAATCAACTAAACAGTTCCAGGCAATGAAACATGGGCAGAATGTGTAATCTAAATTCAGTAACATGAGCAGCACATATATTTCTCTTCTTCTATTAAAAGGCACATCACTAGCTCCTAAGAAATGAAGTTCTTATACTCCAAATGATGTACAACAGAACAAAATGATCTTTAGGGACTTTCTGATCACCTCTGGCCATGAAAAGATATCATGCAGCAAAGCAACTCAACACTGAACCAAGACAGGCAATGACTTTATTTAGGGTTGATTCCAATTCATCTGTAAGAACTTTCTTTGGTCATTCTTACAGGAGAAATGCCTAGGGTTGTGGTGGCAGCAGAATTAAAACATCTTCTCAAAAAGGCATCTTTGGGTTCCCATGTGGGAACAAGAACTGGGCTCTGGATGCATGACTTAGTCAGCACCAAAATATATTAACCATCAAATATGCCAATGCATCCTGCGTTCGTTCAAAACTATTGGTACTGGGATTCACATTCCCAGGAGATAAAAATCAAAATTAACTATACTACCCACAATTCCAAACCTGTCCTCCTTGAAGTGTGATTACACCAGGAATGGACTGGGCTAATACGATGAAAAATGTGTGTTTACAAAAATTATTTGGAGAAAGGGAAGAGGGACTGGAAAAGGAAAATTGAGTGTTTGTTCCAAAGATTTCACAGCAAGGTTTTGGGAGATATATTTTCCTTTCCTTAGAACTGCTGGTGAGTTGTCAAAACAGTGCCTCAAAAATTACTAGAAACCCAATAGAATTGTTTAAAAGTCAGCCGAAAGGGGAGACATACCCTAAGTGAACACAAATTCTATAACAATACAGCAAAAACACAGTGAAATAGCAAAATAAAATACCAAAAGTATAAACTAAAATATGCCTATTGGAACAAGCATTTCATCTCTGCAAAAGTAATTTGCATCCCATAAAAGACTGACTTTGCTCTCCGTTTTTAAGTTATTACATAATATACGTCAACCCTTACAGGCAAGACCAAACTGTAACAATTTTATGTATTTATCAAAAGATCATTCAAAAGAGAACTTACCAACTCGGCAACGTGTGTACACTTGTGCTTCAGAAGGAAAGCAAGGAAGTGCCTTTCTGTACTGCTAAAAGCACTTCACCACAGTCCTGCTTGTAATGAAGTCCCACTCACAGTCTGCCTTTGGGTTGGGCTTTTCTCTTACAAGATAAGCTGTTAAGTCATGCCTTGATTTTAGATCTGCTACCATATGGAGCCTTCTAATGCAGCCTTCTCTCCACCCCTCCATCTCTCCTCTCCCCCCTCCCCCGCCCCCCAAATCAGACTGGCTCCACTCCCTCTCAACACACACATACATACACACATACAAAAAAGGCACTGCAGGGCAGAAATTCCTCAGGTGCTCGCTAATGGAATTCCCAGGGTCTTGGAGCCGCTTCGGGGATCAAGAGATCTCATAGCCCCTGCTGGGGGAAGGAGCTGCGAGTCTGTTCCATTTAATCAAATACAGAATGAATTTTCAGCTCTATTCACTAGCTTGTCTCCAGGGCTCTCAAAAGGCACCAGGCAGCTAGAATCACACACATGTGGCTCTTTTAGGCAAGTATAATTAGTTTGATTTTAAAAAGCCACATTAATAATATCACCTCAGGACCATTATTCAGGAGACAGACGACAATGATACTGTATGTTTTAAGCCTGACAATGTGGAGAAAGTGCACAAACAATGGGAGAAAACTTGAAGGATTTAAAAAAAAAAACAACAGTTTTTCATTTCATTGTAATCCAATATCTTAAAAGTGATGGTAAGTATATTCCATATACCATCCTCTAACTTTAACAGGAAACAATCAAATAAAGCCATCATGTCTATGCTCCTGAGAATCAATGAGTTCATGCATGCCAAATATACAGCTATATATATCTATATATATATAATATATAAAATCACATGGAGTGTTTAAAGGCAAGATTAAATATGTAAATAAACAATGTAACATTTCCACTCAATCCAAACTAATGAAATTCTGTGAAAATAACACTGAACAAATACGGCTCACAGCAAGTCCTAAAACCAATTTCGCCACCAGACTCCAAATTCCATTTCTAATCTAATTAGTTTGTATAAAATAATAAGACCATCTGGGAGACTACCTGGCAGGCAATCTACCTACACTCCCTTCCTAATCCATTGTCTTATCTCCCCTTCCACAGAGTACCAAAGCTGATCACGTGGTGTTAGCTAATGCAATTACACAGTAAAGCAACACATTTCCCAATGCATTATTTTTATGTGTCCTATGCCTCCCGATTTCACAAAGGTAGTGTTTACTTCCAGACATCATTTTTTTCTGGCACTTGACTTAGAAACAATCACCAAGTTTTAGATCACAACACATTCCCCAAAAGAAACATTTCTCAATGTCTCAATTGAATTTTCACAAAACCATAAGTGAGCTCATCCAGGAAGGCTTGAAAGCATTCACAAAGGTGGAGAAGTAAGAGGAAAGTGCAAGAACTAGTTATTAAATTTTACCTGATCTTCTCAGAGCAATGCCTATCACAGAAGTCATTATCCCTACACCCTGCCTGAGTCTATATATGCCTTCCTGATGGGGGAGGGTCCTATCTTAAAGTGAACTTAATTCCTTCTATTAAAAAAAAAAAAAAAGCCAAACCACCTGCAAAACAAGCAAGGCAACCTACACAAGCTGGATCATTCTGCTCCAAGTCCTAAGGGTTCTTTGTACTTCCCCGCTTGAGAGCCAGTGCTGTTTAAGTACTTTGCACAGAAGAGAAGGTTGACTAGAACCCCAGCAATCAATCAAGGTATCCCAAGTGACTTACTACACAAACAACAGCAAGGCACCTCCGGTAACTGATTTCCCTGGTTGACTAAACTATTCAAACAAAGTCAGATTCCTCAAAAGACTATAACCGAGTTTTTGCAATGAAAGTTAAACAATATACATTTGTGTGTGTTAGAGAAATATAAATGTTTCTGCTCTAGACACTGCCAAACACACACCCAGGGCACTTCTTTCCAAAATGAAACAGGTTTTCTCCATCTTTCCCATATAACTTCAAGTACGTGCCAGTTTATTTCAACATGTGCACAACAGAGACTACAGTATTTGCTGCCTTTCTCTGGGTTGCTAAGAATTCTCAGGCACTAATTTTGTATTTCCAGAAATTTCCTGAGGATTATTCTTTCATTTTATTCTAAACGTTAAACTATTCCTAAGTCGCCCCCCCCCTTTTTTTTCAGCCAAAAATAGTCTAGCAGGAGGGGGGGAAATGTGTCATACAATTCTAGAATTATATTGAGTAAACCTATTTCATTCTTGAGCCTTACCCACCTTCCCCTTGCCCTGTCCCTTAGTTATGCCAAATGTCACTTGGGACCCCAGAGTTAGGGTATCAGGGAGACACAGACTGCGAATGAACGAACTTGGCTTCTTTCATCTTTCCTGGCACTGGCCTGTGAATAAATCTCATGTTACCTCCTGTTTTCCAAGGTGTCTGAGTTAGGACACAAAGGCTGGGCTTTGCGTTCATGAAGTTTCCTCAATTCCAGACCCCAACTAGGGAACAGCCCTTCAAAGCACCTGCCACCCTCTTTCGTCTCCACTAGGAAAAAGCAGGCATTTCAAGAGCTTTCCACCTGACTTGGTGGGGTTGGAGAAGAGTAAAGGGAGTCTATCCTCCTCGGTGATTTATGAGGGGAATTCTTAGATGCGGAGAGAAAGCCACAAAGGTCTTGGAAGCCGCAGACTGAAACAAACAGCGATGTATCCTTTAATGTATTTAGCAAATGATAATGCAATCCACAGAAAGCTTTACAGAGAAGGGGGGGGGGGGGGGGACACACTCCCTGGGGCTGGGAAGTCACTTGAGTCTGGGAAGGCAGAGAAAGATACATTGTGCAGGAAATGTCTCTTGCTTCTCTCCTGCACATAAATCACTGTCTCTCGCGGGCGCGCGGCGGGGATGGGGAGGGGGCCGGGGACCCCCAGCCCCGCTCCCTTGGGAAAGCGCGCGGGCGCCCCCCGCGCATCCCACCTGCCCCGGCGATCGTCCCCAAAGCCCAGACTTCATCGTGTCGCTGTCACCTCACCCCGCCTCCTCCCACGAGGGGGCTGCGAATGCCCGAGGACGCGCGGCACGTCGGGGCTCCCCTGCTGGGTTACCCATAAACATGCCCTTGGCCCCACCCCGGACCCCCTCGCCATCTCGGGGTACACCCATCCACCCTTCCTCAGCACTTCCCGCTCCGGAGCCGCGTGGACCCCCTCCACCCCGTCCCCCACCCCCGGTCACCCCCCTCTGCCATCCCGCTGAGGGGACCCTCCACACCCCCCGCCCCCGGGCCCCGCACCTCTCGGCAGGGCTGGCTAAGCCCCCACACCTCCAGCACGGCAGCCGGCTCCGCGAGCCAACCCCCAGGTCATCCCCCCGCGCGCGCTGGCGGCGGCTACGACGGCTGCGATCCGAGCGGGCCCCTCCATGCACCGGGCAGGGCAGCGGGAGGGCGCGGCGCCTCTCACGCCGGGGTGGGGGGCGCTGGGGCGTGCGCGCGGGTTCGGGGTCTCCCCCCACCCCCAGTCTCGTACCGAGCCGCGCGAGCCGGGCACCCGGGCTCCGGGGAGGGGAGCTGGGGGGTGGGTAGGTGGGCGGAGTCCCGGGGCGCGCCCCCGCCAGGCGCTCCTCCCCCGCCCAGCGCGCGGACGCGCGAGCCGGGCCGGCTGGTGAACAGCAGCGGCCCCAGCGAGCCGGGAGGCGGGGATCCCGGCCGACGCGAAGGCGGGCGGAGGAAGCCTCGGCTCCTCGCTGGCCCGCGCCCCGCCGTAGGGTGCGCGCGCAGCCTGCCAGATCAGCGGCGGGGTCTGGACCATACCAATCTACTAACCGGGGGACGCCGTGCACCAGAGACCTTCTCCCCGTTACCTGCCTGCTCTCTCCACAGCCACGTCACCCCAGCACAGCATAAAAAATTAATCACAAATGATCATGAATAGGTGAAGCTGATCGACGCCCTCAAGTCACCGAGATGCCCATGGTGTCTTCACCCACTTCCCCCGCACCCGTCACTTTCCCAAGGCGGCATTTCTGGCCTGAACACAAATGGTCTGCACGTTCCCGAGGGCCCCGCCCAGGCCCCGCCCCCTGCTCCACTTCCTCCCGCCCTTCCCGAGACGCCTACCTCTACCTGGCGATTCTTCTGGACTCCGACTAGCCCGCTGCGTGGAGCCCCCCGCCTTTTCTCCACTTGCAGACTTTAGTTTCTCGGGCACTTCATCCGCTTCCTTAACTCACCTGCCACGCCTTCAGATGCGTGCTGGCAGGTCAAGCAGGGTTGGAAAGTGGCCTGGCGGTTCCTTAGACCTGCCCCCAGTTATTTGATCTCACTCAACCTTCGTTGTTCAAGCAGAAAAGACGAAACTTAATTTCTATTTAAAAGGTTGTTGCGAAACCTAAGTCATGATACTTTCTCAATAGCACCTGCCACTCAGTTGGCAGCTGGAGATTGTAACATAATTATAATAATAACCATCATTATTAGCAATTAGTTTTCTTTTTTAAAAAAAATCATTATTATTAGTTTAACTACAAAAGGAGCCCTAATAGTACCTAGTGGTCATAAATATTCAGTACATTTCAGGAGAAATACAGATTCTTCTTTAACTTTAGCTACATCAGGGTCTTCACGAAAACCTCTGGGAAGAAAATCAGTGTAGAGGAGGTAAAAAGAACTCAATTCTGACTTGTTCCCCGTTGTTCCTTTTCCCACCCCTTTACTTATTTAAACACAGAACCTGTATGTATGTTATTATCTTAAAACACTGTAGCAAATGGAAAACACACAAAGTTTAAGTGAAATCAGAGAGTTTTGAAAATGGAATGGCAGTTTTACACGGTTTGGTGTGGCACTGGAAAGAATCTTAGCATCCTCTAGCCAGCAGCCCCAATACAGAGACTCCCACTAAGACTTCTCCTGGGACTCCACTGGCTCAGACCACCCCGGTATTGCATATGTCACTATGCTGCCTTCATTTACAATCAAACCTAAGAAATAATCGTGTTTGTTGACATCGATTACTCTGCTTGGGCCTTATTTGTAAAGTTGAGAAGTCATTTCAGATTCAAAATTGTTGTTCATTAGCAAGTCATTCATTCATTCATTTGTTCAATATTCAAGTCAAAAGTATTTTACTGAGCACCCACTCTAAGTCACTGCTAGGCACAGGGGTACATAGAGACATAATGCAATCGCAGGCTTTAGAGAAATCAGAATCTATTTGTGATATGGACACATAGAGAAGTACACTGAGGCATTAGGCAACAGGGAGCCGTGGGTATACATGGGCAGGGTAGTCAACCCTGTCTAGCCAAGGCAGCAAAGTCCCTGAGACTCTTATCTCTAATCAGCCAGCAAAAAAGCTAGAAATGTGGCTGAAGTGGCAAAGCATTTAGTCTTTAGGGGAAAAAAAAAAAAAAGGCTGAGATTTTCTGCTCTTAGCCTCCTGAGCAACTATGATTATGAGTATGAGCCCCTGGAACCCTGGTATAGACTAATATACTTCTGAAGCAATCCAGGCAGTCAAATTCAGTCAAAAAACTAGTAATAAGGGCATAGAAGAGGGGATACATTCAAGAAACTAGGATAGCAGGACTTGACAACTGAGTGCATGTAGAAGATAAAGAGAAAAACTCAAAGATCACTCTAACACTGTATTAGCTATCCATCAGAATAAGAAATACCTGAGACGATTGCTTTATAAAGAGAAAAACGTTGCTTTGCCTCACTTCTCTGGAGACAAACGTTGGTCTGTGACTGATTGACAACATTGCTTTGAATATGTGGTGAAGTATCATGGGGGAAGCATGTGATGGAAGAAAACTGCTCAACTCACAAACCAAGAATAAAAAAGGAAAAGAAAGATCCCGGGGAGCTGGGAAGGTGGCTCAGTGGTAGAGCGCTTGCCTTGCATGCCTGAGGCCCTGGGTTCGATTCCTCAGCACCACATAAGCAAAAAGAAAAAAGCTGGAAGTGGCGCTGTGGCTCAAGTGGTAGAGCACTAGTCTTGAGCTGAAGAGCTGAGGGACAGTGCCCAGGCCCAGAGTTCAGGCCCCACGACTGGACCCAAAAAAAAAAAAAAAAAAAAGAAAGAAAGATTCTGGGATGCCAGAGTCCCCTTTGTCCTCAGTTACCTAGACTTCCACCTCTTAGAACCTCCACTACCTCTTTATAGCACTACCCTGGAGACCAAGTCTTTGGGCCACATTCAACATCTAAACAATAGCAAGCATAGAGCAATATTTGGATTACAAATGCAGAAAGAATCCTATTAGGAATAATATGGAATAGTAGAAAGCTATAGCCAAGGATGGATCTCTAAGTCCCCAATAATGAAAGTTCCAATTATCCTGATAGAATTTAGAGGGAAGTTTGTCAGCTGAGCTCAAAGTATGCAACCTGGAAAGGAGGCTGAAGGAGGGTAGCAGAATTTGTGGATAAAACATTAGGAAATACAAGAATTGAGAAATAAAATTTAAAAACCAGTTACAACATTACGGAAGTTCTTGTCAAGGTTGGAGGTCATGAATTGATAGTGAGGGAGTCTATTTGGTTATATGATTCTTCTCCATCAAAATTTAAGCACTTGGTGGAAATATCACAATGAAATACCTCCTCCCCATATAACTAATGTATGCTAATAAATTCAACCATTCAGACATACATTTTAAAAAAAATACCAATCCAAAACACCAATCCAAATTTAGAGTTTTTTAATGGAGGATATACAGAAGGAGACTAACGAATGGGATCGGTAAGAGAATAATTAACTCATCATAGATTCCAGACAGTGAGCTGGAAAAGGTTAGGAAAGAATGAAAGACTAAAAGAAAATGACTGATTAAAGAAAAGGAGATGTCTTTGAGGTTAAAAGAGTTGTAATGAGATTGAGTGTGGAAAAAAAAAAACAACAAACCAAGCAGTTTTTTTGTTATGATGAGAGTTGAGCTGTTTCAGAAATGAAACAGTTTGCTGGCTGATGACATTGTATCAGGACTTAATATTATTTGTATTAATGAAAGCAAGAGACATTGCACTTGAGATGTGGACAGATACTAAAGGGACCAAGAGAAATGTAACAGAAGTACCAAGAGCCAAGTGCCTGTGGCTTCAGCAATTAGGTGGGAAGATTTTTAGGTGCTAAATAACAAGATTGTACATCCTCTGAATCTAGGTCAGAATCAAGTTCTTCTATCATACTAATGTGGTAGCTCATGCTTATAATCCTAGCTACTCAGGAGACTGAGATCTGATAATCATGATTCAAAGCCAGCCCAAGCAGACAAATCAGAGTTCTTCTTATCTTCAGTTAACCAGGAAAATGTCTGAAATGGTGATGTAGCTCAAGTGGTAGAGCTGCAGCCTTCAGCAAAAGAGCTAAGCATAAATGCAAGGCCCTGTGTTCAAGTTCCAGTACCAGCATCAATAATAACAACAACAACAACAATTGTTACAACTTGATCTCCAAGAACTTCATAATAGAGTAACTAGAGTCAAACAGACCAGTATTAGATTCTAACTCTACCTCATTTGACCTTGGTAAAGGTACTAGAATTTCTGAGTTGATTTCATCATTTTGTAAAATAGGGAGGTAATAATAATACTTCCTATACAGATGTTAATATGACCTACATCAGATAAGAAACTATTTAATGTGCCAGTGGCTCAAAGGCCAATGAGCCCAGGCAGAAAAGTCCATGTGATTCTTATCTCCAATTAGCCAGCAAAAAGTCAGAAGTGATGGTGTGGTTTAAATGGTTGTGCACCAGTCTTGAGTGGAAAAAGCTAATGGACATCACCCAGATCCTGAGCTCAAGTCCCAGTACCAGCACAAAAATGAAAAAGAAAAGAAGTGACTTGTGTCCACTGTAGAAAACTACATTAGCACAAGGCTTGTTGCATGGTCCTTGCCTGTAATACTAGATAGTCAAGAGGTTGAGACTAGAGGATTATGGTTTCAGGACATCCCATGGGAAGAAAGTTCAAAATACCCTATCTAATCACACACACACACACACAAAATGGGGCATGGTGGCCCACACTTGTCATCCAAGCTACAAAGAAAGCATAAATAGGCCTTCAGACTAGGAAAAAGTCAAAACCCTATTTGAAAAACCATGCATGAAAAAAGGGCCGAGTAGATGGCTTACATGGTACAGTATCTTACTAGCAAGCACAAGGCCATGAGTTTAAGCTCTAGAATCACGGGAGGAAAAAACGAAAGAACTTACATCCACAGTAATGCCAGGCAAGGGAATATCTTTAGAATGCCTATTATCAAGCAGGCAGTTGAACGTGATGGTGCAGGCCTGTGTTCCAAGCACTTGGGAGGCAGCGCCAGGAGAACCATGAGTTTGAGGCTAGCCTGGACTACAGGATGAGACCTTGTCTCAAAAAAAAGGAACAGAGGGCTGGGAAGGTGGCTCAGTGGTAGAGCGCTTGCCTTGCATGCATGAAGCCCTGGGTTCGATTTCC